AGGTTTCAGTGAAACATGCCAGGTTGGCCATCTCATCCACCAATAGATCGTGGATAAGATGGGTCTTATCCCTATGCCCTATTACCATGTATGGATGTGAGAGTTGGACAGTTAAGAAAGATGATAGGAAGAAAATCAACACCTTTGAGATGTGATGCTGGAGAAGAGTGTTGAGGATCATGTGAACAGCCAAAAAGACAAACAAATGGGTCCTAGAGCAGATCAAGCCGGAAACCTTCCTGGAACCCAAGATGATCAAACTGAGGCTGTTGTACTTTGGACACATCATGAGAAGAGAAGACTCATTAGAAAAGACAATAATGCTGGGAAAGGTGGAGGGAAGTAGGAAGATAGAGCCTCATGCCAGATAGATGAATTCTATTAAGGAGGTCGTGGGTATGGGTTTGCAGGATTTAATCAGAGCAATGGAGGACGGGGGTCTTGGAGATGTCTAATCCATAGGGCCACCATGGGTTGAGACTGACTCAAGGGCAGTTAACAACAACAACAAAAAGATAAACAGAGATACAACCAGGGTGATTTTGCCAGTCCTGGCACTAATAAGAAGCTCTATATTCCTTCTCCTTCAGTCTCAGGGGTGGTGAAAACAACACCCGCTCCAAGCCTATATAGATAATATTGAAGCTTCAAGAAAGCCAAACTTGGCAGAGCCAAACCTTCCCATAATTGGAAGGGATTTCCTTTATTCTGGTTTTGGGAAAGATAAATACCAGCACTTTGACTACTGAAGGCCCATCTAGCTCTAAGTCAACAATGTAACATCTATCATTACAAATCGATGAACCAGCTGCCTTGTGGCTGTCTGTCAGCATTTGGATTATATTTTAATAGGTTGCACCCACTGCATCCTTTAAAAAACCAGTTTTTCACCAATAAATCTATCTCTTGGCTTAGTCTTACTTTGGTCTATCCTTTGTACCTATATATCATACCTCCTTGAGAATTCATCTTCATGGGAAAATGAATGAGACTGAATATTTGAGGAGTCTCAGCAGATGCCTGACATCCAGCCAAGTCATTCTCTTTTTCAGCAGGTCAGATTAGGTTCAGAGCAAGAAGTGGAGCTGGAGGAGAAGTCCCCCTGGTCCCAGAGAAAGGTGGAGGCTCAGGCATCCAGCCCAAGCCATTCCCTGCAGATGAATTGAGAGGTTGTAATCAAGGTGTTAGGAGGTGCACGGCTATGGAATGCTCTCCCTAAATACGGCATGGGAACTGGGCATTGGCTGAACATGCAGCCTTTAAAAGGAAGTTGCAAAGATAAAGCTGTGCCTATGCATTTGTTCAACAGTGTGTAGTTGATTTATACTGTTGATGTATAAAATGAGCATAAGGAGAGGCAGTCTTATCCACCTAAACATTAGGAGGAACTTCCTGAGAGTAAAAGCTGTTAAACAGTGGAACACACTCCATCCAGGAGTGTGGAATCTCCTTCTTTGGAGGTTTTTAAACAGAGGCTGAATGGCCATCTGTTGGGAGTGCTTTGATTGTGTATTCCTGTATGGGACAGGGTTGGACTGGATGGCTCTTGAGGTCTCTTCTAACTCTAGAAGTCTATGATTCTATGATCAGTCCTGAGTAGTTTGAACTAGGGCACGTATATAGAGGAAAATGTTCTCCAGGGATATTGATGCATATTATGATTCCACCTTGCAGAGGGTGGTTGGCCTTTGGTTACTTTCACATCTATAATTTTGATTTGTTTTCACACCTAGGGTTGAAGCTGCCGAGTCCTATTTTGGAGGAAAGGAGAGATATAAATAAAGTCCATCATCATCATCGTCATCATCATCATCATTGGTTAGTCTTGACTAAAGTAGACTCATTGAATCAACTATCGAATAGTGTGTGGATAAATTTCATTGATTCATTATGTCTGCTTCAGGTTGAACTAACAATAGTATTCAAATTCTGTGGTCTGGTTTCTTCAATGCCTATAACTTCATAATATTGTCCAGTTTGTTTATCAAATTGGAGGAAAATTCTTTCAGAATGTTGTCAGAAGAAATATGAGGTAAAATGCTCTTCTTTTACTTTAGTCTCTTTGGGTCAAATATGAAAACCTTCCAAAGCACAGATAGTGTGAGACTTGATTTAATGTTTAGAAAGGGGAAAGCTTTAGAGTGTCTGCTTATTTTCCTTGATTGTTTGACCTTGCAAGACATGCCCATCTGGATAATGGTTGTACATTGTGTCCAAATAGATATGCTCTTCAGTTCTAAGGAAATAAATTAACACAATTAAAATGGAAAGGTGGTAAAATAGGTGATCTTTAATAGTATGGAAACAGATTTGTGTACAGCGTTCATCTTGGTGTCCACTGATGCAGACATATTAATCTGTAACTGGGGTGCAATACAGCAGACTGTGTGTTATAAGCAAGAAGTTAAGTTCTTTTTAAAAAGCAATGGAAAACTCTGCCAATTTACAGGTGCAATGTGAGCCATGTTTTGTAATAGGAGCAATATAATAATGCAGAAAAAGGCTTCTGTATGTGTGTTCTAACTAGATGGGAAACCTTTTGTTTGCATAGGTACTATGTATATGATTCCCCTTCTTTACCTAATTTCTTGGACTGAACACATGAATACATCAAAGAAAGCTAAAATATTACCGATCAGTTGAGAACCAAATGACCAGTATCAAGCCTAACCTCTCCCCTTCCTTTCCCATTCTAGCCAATAGCACCACTTCTCCTTGCAAGCATGGAGGAAGTATAATCACATGTACAATGTACTGTTATTTGTAGAGTATATGAACAAAAAAGTCTGGGCAGATCATGCTAGAGCCTACCAACCCTGCCAGTGTGGCATAGTGGTTCGGATGTTGGATTGAAAATCTGGAGACCAGGGTTTGATTCCAAGCTTGGCCATGAAAGTCACTGGCTGACCTTGAGCAAGGGACCTTGAGCAAGGGACATGCTCTCAGCCTCAGGGGAAGGCAGTCCTTCTCTGAACAAAATTTGCCAAGAAAATCCCATGATAAGATTGCCTTAGGGTTGCCGTAAGTCAGGAATGACTTGAAGGTGCACAGCAACAACTAAACATTAGGAAGAACATCTTTACTGTAAGAGTTGTTCAATAGTGGAATGAATTACTTCAGAAGATGGTGGACTCTTAATCTTAGGAAGCCTTTAAACAGAGGTTGGGTGGTCATTGTTCGAGTGCTTAATTCTGTACTCCTGCATGGCAGAGGTTGGACCAGATGGTCCTTATGGCACTTCCAAATTAAAATTCCATGATTCTAGGAGGGTGGTAGACTGAACAAAAGAGTAATATATTTGCATGGAGACTCTCCATGTAAGTAGGAAAATTGCTGGTAACATGGAATCCCTCCATGAATTGAAGAGGCTCCCCTCTTCAGAACACCACTTTCCACATGTGAAGGATGATGAAAATGATAATAATGTGGTATTCTTCCTCATGGTTTCATTAGTAATCCTACCTAGGGTTACTTGTTCTTTAGAGCAGGAGTGTGCAACTCTTGGTGCTTAGGAACCTGTATCCATCCTCTGAGGATATTGCCTCCTGCCTCCTCTGTTATTGAAAAACATTTTTGTTCAAAAATGGCCACCCCATTCCTTTTGTGTGTGTGTGTGTGTGCGTGCATGGGGGTATAATCACAGTTCTGGCCCTCTCTTTAGGTACAGGAGATGCTTTTTATAAAAACTAAACTAAACTAAGCAAGAAGTGACCCAGAAAGACCCAGACAGAACCAAAAATAGCCCAGAGAGGTCAAAAAGTGTTGTGATTCTCTCACATTTCTTGTGAAATGTGTCATTGAAGGACATATGGGGACATTTTTACCCCTCCTATTTTTGTTATCCTAAAGGCCCTAGAATCACAAGAATGGCTCTGAAGGCCACATTTTCCCCATCCCTGTTAACTGATGAGTAAACAAGTTAAAAGATTTTGAAACTGTCAGTCATGATGTTTGAAACAGAGAGAAACTTCTCCCTAAGTGAAGCTCATAAACTTTATAATCACTTGAAAAATATTAGTAGTATACAGTTAAAGGTAAAGGT